ATGTTGCAATTCCATTTCAGTGAAGTGAAATGAACCGATGTCATTCAACCTAGCCCTTGAATGTGATTCAGTGTTTTAAATCGCTTTGCCACAACACTTATGTTTTTATAGAGCGGATCGCGCAACATTTATGTAATCTCCGTTTAATTTCTTAGCTTTGGAAGCAGGACTCATGCCGGTATCCCTGGGGAATCAATAGATTCCGCAACGTTTGATGGAAATGGCAATGTCTTAGCACATGTGTATCTTCCAAGTGATGGACGAATCCATTTCGACGAAGACGAGAAGTGGTCTTTTTCAGGACGCAAGGGTGGGTGGTGGTTGTGGACTTACACGGATTCCCAGTCAGTGGTCTGGGTTGCTACTCATGGGACCGGGCACGCGTTAGGCCTGGGGCACTCTAATGTCGGCGGCATCGTCATGTGGCCCACAGCCAGCCTTGGGAATCCTTCATTGCACTCTGATGACATCGCTGGGATAAGAGCCCTGTACTCGTGTAAGTAATTATGCTCCTAACAAGCACGGTGAATGAGTCTCGGTGACTTTATATATCAAACGTCTCTGCAAAATGTGTTCATTTATGAGTATCCGAACACTCTGACGAGCAAACTGATAAGTGTTATCATAATTATTTTAAACCACTTGCGTTAAAAAAAAAAACAAACAAAACAAAAAACAAAAACAAATTCTCTGAGCATAACCATAATCAATTATTTGCTTGTGAAAATTTTCCTTTCACTTCACGGTAAAGGAAAAGCACTGCTTGGATTATGAAATATGATTTTGGTCGATTTTGGTCTTTGTTTCTGTCACTATACGGTGTACATTTATAAACACTTCGATTGTAATTTTTTTTACGGCTATAACTTTATTATAATAAAAATTTATTTCCTTTGGGAGCCTAAAGCCCCGGCTTAAGGTGGCTCAACACAGTTTCTGATACCTGTGTTTCATTCACCATTTTCTCTGAAATCCTTGATCCTTTGGTCGCCAAAAATAGCGGCAGGCAAGTTAACAACACAAACTTTGGTTTTTTGATAGTTAAGCTGACGTATGCGCCGTTGCCATGGCAGCATGACTACATATAAAAAGGCCTTTAAAATCGGTTTTGTTTATGTGCAGAAAATCTCGTCATTAGATTTTCTTTATAATTTGCGCGCAACAAGTTTGTAACGATACTTCCAAGTTAACACTATTTTAATAATAATTTAACAGAGAGAGCTTTAATTATCCCTTGTTGAAGGTTCACTGGAATATCTAGAATTTGCTTTGTTAAAGTTCAATTTTTTTTCAATACTCCAGTCACTTACTTCGTAAAGTATTTTCGGGCCAAATCTCGTGAAATTCTAATAAGTGGTTCTCGAGAAATAGGCCTATTTCCGAGAGTGCAATTTTTCATTCAATCGCAATTTTTTGATTTACTACGCATGCGCTGCATTTAACTGGGTTCTTTCGATAACAAAGAAAAAGCTGAGAATTGCTCGGTTCTTTGCATCGTTACCTTTTCTAACATACCTTTGTAATAAAAGACTAAAGCCACCAATACACTGCGTTCAATTATAGAGAAAAATAGCACAGATAGTGAGTAAATAAAATGATCGCTCTATTGACGGCATGTTTGTTTTTTGCAACCCTTGTGCGCGCGCTGAGTTGCATCAGTAAAAGCGCGCGAAAACTGTGTTCGGCCACCTTGACGATCCCAACATTTCAACACAGCATATCGCAACATTGTTTGGCACAGAATGTTGCGTGCGTTTAGGCACCCTGTTGGGACGTGTTGCGACATCTTGCGACATGTTGGGTGTTGTTGGCTCAAATTTAAGAAAGGTCAAATTTTTCATGCAACATTTGTGGATGTTGCATGATGTTATAGCCGCGCACGTGCAAAAATGAAATAGAAAAATGGTACATCTCATGTTTATTACTCTCCTACCTTCGTATGTTGCCCCTATGTATTCGTAGTAACCAACGTATTTGATATAACCGGTAGATTACCGTATGTGTCTGTATGTACTCGTATGTTACTCGTATGTACACTTGGAAAAAAGAGTCACACTTGTAGAAACGCGTCACACTTGGAACTATGGGTCAAGCTTGGAAAAAGGAGGGTAAAACTTGGAAAAAGAGTGACACTTCGAAAAATGGGTCACACTTGGAAAAATGGGTCACACTTGAAAAAAAGGTCACACTTGGCAAAAAAAGGGTCAGTCTTGGAAAAATGGGTTACACTTGCAAAAAAGGGTCACGTTTGTAAGAATGCATCACACTTCGAAACATGGGTCACACTTGAAAAAAAGGTCACACTTGGCAAAAAAGCGTCAGTCTTGGAAAAATGGGTTACACTTGGAAAAAAGGGTCACGTTTGTAATAATGCATCACACTTGGAAAAATGGGTCAAGCTTGGAAAAAAGGGGGTCACACTTGTAAAAATGATTAACACTTATAAAAATGCGTCACATCACGCTTGAAAAAAAACGAGGTCAAACTTGGAAAAAAGGGCCAAACTTGGAAAAATGGGTCACACTTGGAAAAATAGGTCACATGTTGAAAAATCAGGTCACACTTTAAAAAAAGAGTCACACTTGGAAAAATGGGTCACACTTGAAACAATGGGTAATACTTGGAAAAATAACAATACGAAAAATAAAAAATAACAATACGAAACAGACCAAGTTTGTTTCTCTTTATATATTTTATATATAAACCAAGTTTCTATTAAGAATGGTGATGAGAAAAAATGAGAAAAAAAAAAACCCTCTCCAATTTGGGACTTTTAAAAGTCTGCGAATAATCGGAAGAAGTTATCAGGCCATGGAATCGTATTAAGGGGGCGACTGGAGGGGGTATTTTTGAGTGGGTTTTGCTCCCGGAACTTGGCGCATTTTCAAGGGTTTGGGGCCTTTGGTTATTATTGTTAGATATTTGGGTCGGAGACTGTTTTTCTTTTTTGGGAGGAGGGTGGGGGGGATGGGGGGTGGGGAGTGCGCTAGGAGGGGTGGGGGTGAGGGGGAAAGAGGTAAGTAGTTCCGGAACGGGGAACGTCCGCGAAACAAGGCTAAATATCATCACGCTATAATTATGTCTTTGACAAAAACGTAGGTTGTCTGCTCAGGAAAAAGATACAGAGTTGATGACTATTAGGGGGTGGGGAAGAGGGGAATTGAAGAAACGCTGCCATTTCCTAGGGGATAATGTCTGTATGTATTATTTTCTCACTGGAATAGACTTTGGCTGATAAAATTTTCTAGGGAAATAATTTTTGCGAATAGTGGAAAAATATCGCAAAAATTAGAACCCGAAAAAACTCTTGCCACACGGTAATTTCCCATTATTACCTCATTAGGAAATATTAGTGATACAATTTTATATATTTACTTGCATTTTGAGTATGGATGTGGGAGACCGCTCTCAAAGCGGTAGATGGATCGAATTATACACCCACCTTTGTTGTATACCAAAGAATCTTCAATTTGGGAGCACTTGGTCGACTCAAAACACGAAAGAACAGTTCATCGCTTTAGTAGTCATTTTGTTCACAATGGTCAGGCAAATGTCGCCCCTTCCACGAAATAACCTGGTCAGCGGATTTATCACCAAAAAATAGTTTACGACCTATCGACTGACTGACCGAGTGAATTATTTCTTCCCCAACTGACGGCTACTCATTCTAGCCACGCTAACACTCATTTAAAGTAAAAGAAATGTCAAACATGTAGACAATAATGTAACGTGAAGTGCTTGATTCTCAAGTAACTGAGTAAATAGGACCAATATTTGGAAAGCACCCTGTAAGAATGCGCGTTCTAAAAGCAGTTCTTTTCCAAACTCGATAGAAACTCCGAACTACTAGTTAGCTGGCTTCAGTGATGGACTCGCCTGGATAACTAGAATTTTACGCATGTTGCTAGGATTTTTCGCTTCATTGACAGTGCTACAACTTAGACATATTACATGGACACAGAGAACTATTTTCCCTCTAATTTTCTTTATTGTCCTTCTCTGGTACACAGAATGATAAAAATAATAATGTTAATAATAATTTAAAAGAAAAAACCGATCTGATAAAATCATCTAAAATCTGCTCTCAATCGAACATGAGCATTCGTCCGAACAGTCTTCTTTAATTCAAGAAGTAAAACATATTCACCACTTATACTATATCTAAAATGGAGGACAAAGCCATCTAACTTGAAGAACTGGATTTATCCTTGGGAAACATTATTTTCACAAACTGAGCAATCACTACAAAAAATATACCCTGCTGCAACTCAATAACATTTCTGGCTTGTTTGCACCTTAATTATTTCAGCTGCTACGTTAAATTAACCCACAAGATATAGTTATCGTTAATAAGTGAATAGAATTCAAGACACATCTCTCAACAGTCAGCTCTCGGGTCCTTGTCAATTCCTAATCAATGTTGCCTGTTCATGACAATTGATTTTTTTTTTCAGCCTTTGCAGAGCATCTTTATTTTCTCGCACCGATTTTCACACGTTTTCCTTAGCTGTCACAACTTCATCCGGGTTACTTTCTATCGTAAACAGAAATAGTCAAATCACTGCCTTCTCTAGTCATGCAAATCTCACATACAATTGTCAACTATTCCCGATTGATTTTCGCCTAACGGCATATCATTGAGTCAAGCAAACATCAGAACAAAGGAAATAGTCGAGTCATTTTTCAATTTTTAGGTTAATTAGGAATTTCACCCAACTTGAACAAAGAGGGATGTATGGATACCAAAGAGCCGAATTTTTTTTTTTTGCCAGTATCACGGAGAAAAAGCGTTAAAAGAAAATGCTGCCGCGGTCTTTACAAAATCCTAGCCTACTCTGATTATAAATCATAGCGGTTAGCCCCACATACACACGAATCTCCAAGTCTCCCTCTACTACTTCAAAACTGTCTAGTGTTTCCTGGTTTGGATCAGCTTCGCGAGCTTCAGTTATGGCCTGAATAAGAGCTTTGCTGAACAAGCTGTGCTGAGAGTGATCTGGTGGCGAGTCCAAGAACGTGCTTTGCACGTGACTGGTGTATGACAGGTACGGCATGTCAGCTGACCATGGGTTCCACGCCTGAAAGAAGCCGGGTTCTTGATGGGAGAGGAAAAGTCGGATGCCCGGCTGTTTGCTGTGCGGGCTGTTTTCCGCATAACCAGTAATCCTACAAAGGAGAGAAAATTGGCCGTGAATGCTGGAAGGCTTTGCCCTCCACACTAAGCTATCGAATTTTTATAAGCTCGTTGGTCAGTGAACTAGAAGCGAACAAATTTACTACATAAAATTTCTTTCGATTTGAAAACTGGTGAAAAGTGCGCGACAGAGAGCGATGTTACTTACCGCTTCCAGACTGGAACCCATGTCACGTGACCAGAGGAAGTGAAGACTGAGCAGTGCAGTCGATGACAAGAAGTTGACATTTGTTTGGTTTATTTAGTTGATTTAATTACAATAAGGACATCTAAAAGAACCATTAAATTATATGTACATAAACTTAACAACTTCACTCTACTACCACTCTCTTACATTAAATATCTTATAAATATCAAGCGCCTTGAGATACTCCTCTTAATATAAACGTTCTAATTTGCACTCAATGGAAACGAAGTGCACGCGTTTGTAATTTTCTCAGGCTTAAAAGAGTAATCGTATGAAAGCTCGCACATTTTACAACCTCGCGATATTTGAAATTCTTTCAAATCGCACTCGCCTGGAGGCTCGGAGAATTTGGAGAGAACCTTAATACACTGTAGTGTAAGTCCTACGTTGCACTCGCAATCAATCATACGATTATCTATGCATATCTCAATTTAGCACTTTTCAATTAATTTATGCAAATCTAGTGCCAAGCTGTTAAGTTGCCAGGATTATGTAAATTTTACATTCAGTGAACTTCCAGGAAGAACTGAATATTATTAACTTAACTGAGAGTTAGAGACCCTCCTAAAAACGACTCTTTCAAGTAAAAACATCAGTCGATTGTTCATTATTTTATACTCTCAACTGTAATTGATGGCAATGCCAAAGCTGGTTAACATATTTTGCAGATCCAGAGAATCTTCCCCCTGCCCAGAGAAGGGATTGGAATTTCCTGGGGGGGGGGAGGGGTGGGAGTTCTGTAAGACCAAAAGATTTTAAGAAAAATGTATGTAGCTTAAATGAAATTTCCAGAGGGGCGGGTCTTAGAAAGATTCCCTACTGTGGGGGAGGTGTAGATATTTTCTGGAACTACACATTCTTTATTTACCACCTGGCAAGGCTCCATATTAATAATCACAGCAGTCATATAAACTTGCTTATGACAACTGACAAATTCTAACTACATGCCTGCTGAAAAATTCAGCCAGCAGAGAATTTGTCTTCTAAATCTAAATCTAAATATTATTTCATCGGCAACATCTACAGGACATTACGCAACTACAAGGGAAATGCAAAATGCGAAATGCAAAAGCAATACAATGTGAAAGCAACTGCCTTTTTGACCTTACGAAAACTAAATAGTCCTTACTGACTTTAGGCAAGAACACACCCTAAAATCCAAACTTTCCTCGGTCGCGATTGAACCCCCAGATGCTATAGTTATGAACTATCGGTGAAATCCCACAATACACTTCGATCATTATGGGCTCATTCTGAACAATCTCCAGGGACTCTTGTGCCACCCCTTCTTGTAGTGCATTATGACAATCAGTGATGGCAGAGATAAGAGATTCCTGGAACGGGTCGAGCTGCATGTGCTCAGGTAGTTCACTCATGACATCGTTGCCTCTGTGCCAACAGAACGTGACAAAGGGGATAGCACGTGACCATGGATTCCAGTTCTGGAGAAATGTGGGTATTGTGTTTTTGCCAAAGTGGAGGCGTAGACCAGTTTGGAAGTGTCGTGGACTGAAAAGACAGGGGGTAACTTCCTTAGCCTTTGCATGGTATTTGGAAACCAGCCCTACCCTATTTATGTCCAAGTATAGGCTCGAAAGCATGGGACAAGAAAATTCAGAATGAAAGCAGTCTGGTCCATACGGTCAAAGTTGTCACTTAACCTTTAAGCAAAGTGTAACCAGCTGATAAATGACCCCCTGACATTTCTTCACTTTCACTGGTACCCTCACACCGTACAGGGTGCAAAAAAGTGATGTTCAAGCTCGGTTGCCCTATGATGTACAGTACATGAACTAGCTCCCCTTCCCTCCACCTCAAATGGTCCCCCAAAACAATCCTTATAGGCATTATCTGCTAACAGTACATTGTAATTCAGTCTGCAATTTGAATGCACCTGTTAAGCCTTCATAACTGCTAAATCCACAAGCCCTATGTTATCGCACACCACTGTTTTTTTGCATGCGTCTGTACGCTGCTTATGCATATGCTTGGGTGCTGGTAGCCTGCAATGCAGGTATATTTGGGCAAGCAAGCACATTCATTTTGATAAGATGAGTGCCATCTTGGATTTGCACTCACAACAGACGAAAAGGTGTCCTAGGGAGTTGGGGTGAGGCTAAAAGGGAAAGAGGGAGGGGAAGGGGAAGGAAATTTTTTTCCCTCCTTCTGCCTCCACCCCCTCCCCGTCCACTTTTCCTGAGACAAAATAGTGGTCAATCAACTCGATCTTGAGCTAACAATGATAACTTGTGAACTCACGGAAAACGCCTGCAATGCAGACTAGTGTGCTGGTGAAAACCAACCTCAACACAAACCTGATCATGCCTAAATTGGCATCATAATAAAAGTGTTAAGTAATTTAAATACTTGTATATTGTACTCACATCATCATGGTGTTCTTTGGATACACAAATCTGCCGACCTGAATCTTGTCACATTTTGTTAATGGGATCTTCCTCATCTCATCAACTTTCAAACCAATGAAATTGTACTTGACAAGGCAAAGAGTTTTCTTGGTAATAAGAACAATTCTTTCTTTTTCATGATCCCAGTGATCAATTCTGAGAAAGAAAAAAAAAAATGAATGTTTGAACATGTACTGGTCTGCAAGTACAGTAATTCTAAACTACATAAATTAATAGTTAATAACAGTAGTTACCACATGTATAAATAGTCATTATTTCCCACACTGTTTCGATACCGGAACTGTAAATTCAGGTTTAAATGCACTTAGAGTTGATGCCCTCTTGCCAGTTTCAAGGCTTTTGAAGCCTGACTAACTTTTAATCAGAAGCTCCTACTTTAACAAAACTGTATTATTTATATTAATCTACATGTAATAGAGAGCTTTCATTTTATCACAGAGCACAACTGGCATATATGATTGTAACAAATGAAAATATACAATGAGAGATACATTTGTAACGTTCTACATTTATTTAGTTAAAGTGATTAACATGAGAGATGTTAACACCTCAAGAGGGTCACCAAAAAGTATCCATTGTCCCTAGTAACTGGTGTCCATATTAAGCAGGCTGATGCTAGAGAAAGAATTCATGCATTACTTTGGGACAAACACAACTGTGGGTAACACTTAAACAGGGATCTGTATTAACCAGGTGTCTGCACATGGGCTTGTTTTCCAATCAGAAGTGGACAGCAATCCCTTATATTTCAACAAGAAGATCTGTTAGATCTTATAACCGCGCTTTTAAAATTTAACTGTTTGCTTAGCACTAC